TAACTCGTCAAGCATATAGCGTACGAGATCGTCTATCCGCGAACCGACCACCTCCGAAGAAAGGTTTTACAAATCGTTCGTCCCTATTTCCAAAACGACGATATCCGGTTTTAGAAGGAAATATCATACTTAAACACTTTGTCTACAGTTCGACCGCTCGAGCCCTTCAAAGATACGTACCCGCCTGAATCGGCCAGGTTAAAATTTTGTTTGGAACGGGAATCAAAACCATTATTTAAATCGTCATTTAAGCGGCTCACAAAAGAATGGCCAAAATACCAAAACATTAGGAATGAAACCCGACATATTTCTTGAGGATAAATAAGATAAATAAGATAAAGGGAAATACACAAACCTGAAAAAACTTTGGAAGAAAGTATACAACTGTTGCTCCTGGCTGACTTCGGTAGAATAACCTAACCTTGACCCTTTGTGCCTTGACACTCGCGCCTTTTATACGCAGCATCAGAGTAAAATTCCCAAATGTAGCAACTTCTCCCCGTAATATTTCGTTGCATGCGTTACGTCATCATTTCATTAGCTATATTAAATCTAACTATATATGTATATAATAGGGAAAGCAATAAAATTACTATTCGGTGAACAAATAGTTCCTATCGTGGTTTTTGCATCTGAATTCAAGTTAAGGTGGCTCCATACACTTTTCATCATCGGGGGACTGGTACTTAATCTTGTCCTAATGTTGAGTTTTCGCGCGAAAATATTAAAAATATATGCAAAAATAAACACAACTTTTTCAGTCTGAAATCCGAACCACAAGTCATGTTTATTTGGATGTTTTGAGTCTTCCTTGTTCTCATTTGTCCTCAAAGAATAAACTTCGTCCTGATTTTGTCCTGGACATTGAATAACTAGTCTTTTTAGAAGACATTTTAAGGTAAAAAATGCAATGTTCAACTTTCAAACTCTTGTAAAAAACTTTCCGGCGATCGGCCCGACCGGCGAAAAGTTTTTTACTCCAATATTTGGTGATTTATAAGTTCATATATCCAAAGTTTTTTGTACTTACAACTGGTAAATGTATTCAAAGTGTTACTAACAGCAAAGGAATTCAGTGAAACAGCATCTTGCGCGGGCTCAAACTGTTTTAAATTGTCAACAACAACATGAAAACACACAAGTTACGACTGTAAACGAATATAAAACTACGTAGAAAAGCCAAAAAGTTCATACATGTCACACATATCTTATACCAAACGACACAATCACCTGTTTTCTTGGCGTTATCCCGAGTTAGCATGCAAAACTAAAGATATTTGCATTTCTAAGCAAGAAAACACAACATATATTTGATATTTCGACGAGACTATAAAAAACTTTTTTGCGCGTGTTTTTCTGGAGATGCGCCTGCGAAAACATGAACGCGCATGTCAATTCATTGATCTTGCAGAGCTCGAAAAACTTTCGGCCGAGCGAGTGAGATACCACAATAAAACGGCGTAATTCAAAATTTTGCACGGTGACATGTGATGAAATTTTGCACAACGATAACTTCTTTTAAAACAAATAGAATATCAAAATTTTAAAAAAATCTGTAGATTGGAAAACTCTAAATCCGCAATTTTTTATTCTGGCTTTTCTAATCTACAGAATTTTTTATTTTCAGGGATAAGATTCAGCATTAAAAGTGAAAGCTATACAGCAGTTAAAAATGGGGTGTCACCGGCAATATTCGGAAAATAAATAATAAAAACCTGCTTAAAATAGCAAAAAATACCATATTTGGCGAGACTACTGTTACCATGGAAACAATATTATGTTCAAGAATATTGCAAATGTTTTCTACCAAATACTTAATTTATACTAGGGAATGCTTAAAATTAATAGATGAAGTGATAAAATTTATAAATTGAAATTTTTACGCAATAAGGTATTTATACTACGGAACTGTATGGAGCCACCTTAATTGAAATAGTTGGAGTCGCAAGTTTTGTCTCACGCAAGCAAACAAACACGCGTCATTGCTCGCGCAATAACGGCCGGCAATTAGAAAAATCTCAATTAATTTGGAATTTAATAAGAACAAATATTCATTAATTTTCGCGTGTAAATCGTTTTTATCACGTTTAAATTACGGTGAAATGGTTGTTTTCAAACGTAAACTCGAGTGGCGGCGGTTCATTGGAGTTATTATGTGGATGTTCATGTTATTCATAATCTTTTGGTTGGCTAAAAGATCAAAACCCGAACTTGTGCGCTTCGAAGATAGATCAACGTCTACGAACATTTCCATTGCTTCTGAACTTGCAAGAATACCTGATAGACTTTGTTTTCTTTGGATATCAACGCGAGACAACATTTTACGGAAATCTAACTATTCTTGTAAGCACCACTACGGCTTGGAACTTCAGGTAAAACACAAGAATTTGCATCTTCTTTTATGTATCCTGCTTGCTGGTGATGTAGCAACCAACCCAGGCCCGACATCTGACTCACAATCAAGGGACGGTTTCAAGATACTGTATTTAAATGCAAGAAGCCTGAAAGCATTTGTTCATCCACCGGGGAATACCTCCCCGAAAGTTTGCAAAATTTCGTTATTTCAAGATTTAGTATGCAGTGGAAATTATGACGTCGTATATGTTTGCGAGACGTGGTTAAACAACTCAGTTTTAAGCAGCGAAATTATACCTAATTATGGAACTGTCTTCCGGCGTGATAGAACTGGCAGAATTGGTGGTGGTGTTCTCGTTGCTATTAAGTCAGGAATACAAGTCACACGTCGACACGATCTGGAAAATGACAACACGGAGCTTATTGTTACTGAACTTTTTAAATCGAACAGTAAACCTGTCATCCTTTACACTTTCTATCGCCCCCTGACTCTATGCTTGATGTCCTTCAGTCACTGAACAACTCACTCCAAAGAAACCAAGAATCGAGTCGTATTGTGATGATCGGAGACTTTACCTACCATCTGTTAAATGGTCGAGTTATGAAAATGTTCCTGTGAATACCGGAGGGTCCAATGAGAATAAAGCATTTTGCGAAATGGTGGACGACAACTTCCTTCAACAGTTTATATCTGGTCCCACCCACATCGCTGGTAATAAACTCGACCTTTTGCTATGTAATTCTCCAGAAATCATCGGTGACGTTTCTGCATTCTTTCCCGAATGTTTCCCAACAGATCATTACGTCGTGGAAATTGATGTTCAACTGAAGTTTAAAAGAGCCAAGCCAGTTAAACGCCGATATTTTGACTACAGGAACGGTAAATTTGATGAGTTGCGCAATTTCCTCACGAGAAATCCCATTAATATTACTCCCACCGATGATATTGATAACTACTGGGAACAATGGAAGGAAACGTTCTTAACTGCCGTGAAAAAGTATATTCCAGTAAGAGCTGTTAAGGACACCAACTCCCCCCTTTGGATTGATAAAGAAATCCGGATTCTTATCCGCAAGAAATACCGTGCATTAAAAAACTACCGAATGAATAGATCTGCAACTCGGAAGCGAAAGCTGCGATCCCTTAGTCAACAAACTAAGCGTCTCATTAGACGGAAACACCAAGAATATCTGGCTAAAATTGAAAGTTCCTTCTCTGTCAACCCAAAGCTGTTCTGGAGCTACCATAAAGCTATCCTACGCCACCGAGCAAATCTGCATCACGAAATAACGTTCGACGGAGTTACTGCAAAAGATAAAGCTACACTTTTCAACGCGTACTTCTCTTCCGTATTTCGTTCACCTTTCACAGGTTCAAAATCAGGTATCTGTGATCTGTTCCAACCATTAGAAATTGAGGAGCTTTCCAATATAACACTCAATGCGGAAGAAGTTGCGCGAAGTTTGTACAATCTTGACACATCCAAAGCGTGTGGCCCCGACGGCATTCCAACTCGTCTTCTGCAAGAATGTAGCATCCAAATTGCACCCAGCATTTGTGAACTATTCAATCATTCGCTGCACACCGGTCAGATCCCTTCTGAATGGAAATCTGCCAATGTTACGCCTATCTACAAGAAAGATCGTAAAGAACCAGCCGAAAATTATAGACCTATTTCTTTGCTCCCCATCCTTGGGAAAGTTCTAGAACGTGGCGTGTGTTTCAGACTTTACGATCATGTCAAACATCTCATCACCAAATTTCAACATGGTTTCCTCAGACAACGTTCATGTGTCACTCAGCTCCTATCTGTTCTTCATACTATCGGACAATCTCTCGACAAGAACACCCAAACAGACATCGTTTACCTAGATTTTGCAAAGACATTTGACACTGTTGACCACAATATTCTTCTCCATAAACTTAAACAGTATGGCGTATCAGGACAGTTGTATGCATGGTTCCAAGACTATCTGAGCGGTCGTTGTCAACGAGTTGTGGTAGATGGAGTTGCATCTTCCTGGGCACCTGTAACATCTGGTGTGCCACAAGGAAGTATCCTAGGACCTGTTCTGTTTGCGATCTTTATAGACGATCTTCCAAATGTACTACCAGACGAGACCTCGGCAGCATTGTATGCAGATGACACCAAATTGTACAAATCAATTAAATCGGAAGATGACTGTCAAATTCTGCAACACGCCTTGACCAGCCTTGAATGTTGGAGTCATGATAACAACCTAGATTTCAACCAGTCGAAATGTAAGGTGTTGACCATCACACGAAAAAAGACTCATGCATGTCTACCACAAGTAGTATAGGAACTGCCGTAGCGAGACCACTAGTTTCGGAACGAGACCACGTTTTTTCGGCTTCGCCGAAAAAATGGTCTCGCTCCGGAACCAGTGATCTCACTACTGCAGTCCCTGTACTACACCGAATTTAGTTTCTTAATTAAGTGTTGTCCTTCTTGGGTGTAGGTACAGTGGATCTGCTATTCTAGAGCCTCTTCGACAACTTTTAAAACACCCTTGAGGTAACACACACCCTCTCCACAGAATCGTTAGATATTAATTCTGAGCACTGATTAATACTTCCTACAACCTCCACAATACCCATTTTAGTTGTCACACTCAGATTCCAACTATTCACCATTCTCTTCTATTAAAATATCAGGGATTCCCAAACCCTCAAACAACTAGACTTTTCCAATATCGTCCAATTTTACTATTCCAAAGCCTCTTCGACAACTTTTAGTTTCTCCTTGGGGGGTACACAAGGCAGGCGGCCCTTCCTGCTTATTTACCCTTTAGGATTATTACTTTCTACTCTGTGGGAACTTCTCAGTCACTATTTTTTATATTCTTGTTACCATAAGCATAACTGGTAACTCCATCCTCCAGAAGATACCTTTTATCATCAAAGCAACTCAGAGTAACCTTCCTCATTTCATAAGTTCCGATTGTATGCTTCGTGCTCCTGATTGTATTCATGTTGTGTCTCATCCTACCTTTCGTGTTGATTACATTCTTGAAGTTCTCATGAGTGAGCTTGTTTCTGATGACATACTTCTTAACCCCTTTAGCTGTCATTCCACCCCCACCGTTTTCCTTGACATAGGAGTACATCTTTGACCTCAACCCAACAAACTCAATTATGGGTACTCCTCCAGCTTCATCCTTAAACTTACCTATAACCTTCTTGTTATGGCTTGAGTAATAAGGGCTGTCTTTTGGGTAATCTGAATTATCCCAGCAGTCTTGCTCTTCACCAATCCTCTTAAAGTCCTCACATACATCATCCGTCTTCAGTTCGTAGATTAGACTGTCAGTATCGGTGAACAGTAACCTCGAACTATTACCGTACTCGTTCTTAATGGTGTTGTAGTGGAAATCGTACATCAGAGTCTTGGATAAATCTAAGATGCTCATTCCCACATAACACGGCTTATTCAGCGTTAGAACTTCTTTCATCCTTTTTACCACTATGAGATTCTCATTCATGATTCGGTGTGACTGGAAGCACGGTGATGCTGTCAGTTTTAGGAGGTCGTCTTTGGAGGACACTAATTTCACATCAACCCTTTTCCTAAGATTCTCCATAGTCTTTCCGTAGATCGAGTTGTTCATCAACTTGAAGAAGTTCTTTTCGAACGTGTTACGGGCTACTGACCTCTTCTTCGTGTTGAAGTCTATATAGTCCTTTAGCCAGGGAGACTGCTTGAATGTAACCGCTCTATGGACCTTCGTGAGTTTCATCCCAAGGTCTGTGTACAGTTTCAGATTGCGTACATGTAAAACGTACTTCTTCCTGGGGCCTAGTGAAGTCACTAGTTTTCTTACTCCTCCAATTGTCAGTTGGAATTTCTCAGCAATACTCTTCGCATAATCTGACAACATAGAAGCACTGATTTCCTTACTCTCCGGTGCTAGAGGATAACCGTTGTGTAGGTCGTGAAGTTCTTGTGGATATTCCAGGTCAACCTCCAAAACCATTCCCCTTCCGTTGTCTCCCAAGTAATCCTCTAGATTCATACCATCAACTTCCTCAACACACTCGAACTCTCCATTAGGTAGTGGTTGTGACATCGCCCATGCCATATAAATTATTAGCGTCGAGGTACATTAGGTACTTGTTCTCAGACGACTCATCCTACGTCTCCACTTATTATTAGCTGCTGAGTGTCTATGAGCAATATAACTTGTACCACCTCTCATACCCTTCTCGAAGAACTGAAACATATCCATATCGCTTACGAGTTCTATTTCTTCACCTGACTTTTTCAGGAAAGCGTCCCAACTCAGACTAGGTGCTGACACATAATGTGCGGGGTCAAGTTCATAACTTTCCAGACATGTTCTCCTGAAGTTCTCAAACACATCAGCCAGCAGAAGAACGTCAGTCTCCAAGTAGAGGTCGTGGTAGTCTCTCATGGTTTTCATCTTGAAGTGATCCCATACTTTCTGAGCTCTCTGGTAATCTTCCTCCTTCACCTCTGACTCATACAGTGACGAGTAGAACTTATCCTTGCTCGGGAGACCTTTTGTATTAAGTTTGCTAATATCATCGAGGAACTCGTATGGGAACACTCCTTTTTGTGTTACTAGATTATTTTGTGTTACTCGTATAAAGAAAGATTGCAGATCCTTGGCATCATCCCTCTATGTTACTGGCATGAATATTTAGACATCATTTATTTCTTTAAAAGTCTCATAAATGACTCTGACAGTAATATCTCGGTCAAAGTTTCAACACGAGAAACAAGAAGAGCAAGTAATGGAACTTTCCTAAATGTGAGAAAGTGCAGAACTGTCAACTACCAGAGCAGTTTTTATATTAGAGCCGCGAGCGTGTGGAACACTCTTCCTCGTTATATTAGAGACACAACTAAGTCTATAGGATCATTCAAAACAATACTACGCAAGCACTATAAAGATCTAACGGACAGTGTTTTCAACCCCGATGACCCGAGAACTCTTAAGTCAGTTTGTGTGAAATGTCACACAAGTCGTCCTTTATGGAACTTATTATCTAGACCATGTTGTTAGGTCAATCGAACCTTATATAGTGATCCCTTATTGCGTGTGCCAAATGCAATTACCATAATGCTATAATGAATATTACTTTATCTTATGGTTCAACTCCATGTACGAGACTATGAGTATAGCATTTTGGCGGTTGTGGACGGTGTGCGTGATAGGGAAAGCAGTCATTAAATTTTAATATAGCTTGCTCGATACATAAACAATCTTAACAGCTTCAAATTACTCTAGTACTTCATTCACGAGTTCAGAATTTCAAATAGGATCTCATGTCGTTGTCTTATCGTTGTTTGTTTCAATTTGTGGCCTGTTAATTTGTTTATCTGTTTATTAGTATGTCTAATATCTGTCACGCCATAGTGTAAATTATTGTTATGTTTATGTATGTTGTGGAACCCCGTTATTGGAGATTTTATCTCTGTGTGGTCATTCCAGCCATTGTGTGTAATTTATAGTTAGTTTATATCTTTAATAATGGCAAATTTGTAAAATTAAAAAAAAAATAAAAATTAAAAATTAAAAATTAGACTGAAGTCCTCACCCTTCCACCTCTTACCTACTATCCTAAAGTCCTCAGGTGAAAGGTTACTCACCAGTGCTTCCAGTGAAGACGCCATGAATTGTATAGAGTCTATGAAGACCAGATTTTTATCCAGTGAGAATGAGATGTATTTTTCCATATTATTTGGGATCACATTAACATCCATCTTGAACTTACCAATTTCCTGCATAATCAGATGACTATCGTAACCTCTCAGGTTGTGGAAGACCACAGGTACTTTCCATGTAATTCTGTACTTAAGGTTGCATATATTATGAGCAGCTCCGCGGTACTTACCTGTTACATGGTCATGGTCTCTCACACGGTCCTCACATAGATCGTAACCACATATGTGGCAGTTTCTTGTAACCAGGAATTCTGCTTCCTCTTTAGGTGTAATTACCATTTTCTTCCTGAATATTTTGTCAGTCATTTCCCTACATCTGAAGGACTCTTTTACTACCGTCTTTAGGAAGACCAATGCAGCGTCACTTCCAACGTAACTCTTATACTCACCGGAGTACTTATCATCATAGTGGCAGACTGTTTTCAAACCAAAACTACAAGCCTTGTGTGTCTGGTAAAGGTCTGTACTACTTTCTTCCTCAGGGTTCTCTGACTTCTCTTTTCTCTCCTCTGGTACTAGTATGGACTCAAAATCAGCGTATATCACAAACGGCACAGGCATTGAGTTCCTATGATTTTTGAACTTGATTTTTGTCCCTTCCTTGGGAAGCTTTACAGCCTGAGTTCCATTTACCTCCAGACATGTTTCCTTATGCTTCTCCAGTACCTTCTCGCTAACGCAACTGTGAAGACAGTGTAGACAGAAGTGCTGCTTATGTGCATGTTTACTTACACTGAAGAGCATCCTGTTTACATCCTTTATGAGCACATAATGGTTGTTACCTTCACCATCACCTAGGAGTAGAAGTTCCATATGATCCTCGTATTTAGCCTTGGAGTTTCTTATAGGGTAGAACTGTTTCTTACCCTTATAACCAAACACAGATATGCTGATACTGTTTTTCCTCTCAATTCTATCAATGTCACTTATCTTCACGGGGAAGTCTATACCGTCATAGTCCAGGTTCGTTATGAATTCCCTATCTTTTTGTGTGATAGTGGTTGCTCTTCTGGCCTTAGGATTCAGATGTCTCACATGACTCCACAGGAAACACAGGTTGTCATTGTTCTTCATATTGATGAGCCCACACATTGAATTACTAATGTCCTTAGGAAGTTCCATGTATGAACTACCCTTTAACGGTTTGTACATTGCAATGTTTACGTAATGACTCTCAATATTGAGTATAATCCAATTTGAACCTAAGTTTTGGAAGGTTTCAATTCTAGACAATATTGTCAGTTGGTTTTGAGCAGCTGTACTTTCAATGTCCTCGAAGTTAGTTGCAGTACCAGTCTTAGATTTGAAGTAGACTGAGTCCTTCTTGGTTTTCCCGTCACCGATTTCCTTTGACATTCTCACCTTCAGAGTCTCTGTGTACTTCAACCCACCCATTCTCTTCAACTCGTTCACAAGTATTCCTCTCACTACCTGTCTACTTGCAGTCATCTGGTCCAGAGGGTCCATATAATGAGGAGTTATAGAGTAAGTCACGGCGGCTCCATTTGCGGCTGTTTCAATTTTCCTGTGGAATGGCTTTTCAAGGTCTGTTCCAAATGGATCGATTTCTTGTTCCTCTGGTGTAACCGCTGTAGGCTGCTCCTTGACTTCCCTCGACACCCTTACAGGCTTACGGACCTTAGGAGGAGACACTGGTTTCCTAGTCCTAGGTTTCGGTACAGGTCTTTCCTTAAGAAGCTTAGTCCTTCGTTTCGGCACAGGTCTTTCCCTAGGAAGTACCGTTCTAGGCTTAGGTATCGGTCTCCATGGAGCTACACCCTTAGGTACCTCAGGAGCTTTCCTCACAGGTCTCTTATTAAGATGCACGTGAACCGTAAACTTACCTGGACCTGTTGGAGTTATAGCACTATCTACTGGCACTGAGAGTTTTACCTTCCTCTGATTCAGGAATCTTTCGGCTACAGTTTGCTTCCTAACCTTAACATCGGTCTTTGCCTTTGGTGGTCTACCTCTCCCCTTTGGCACTTTCACTTCAGCATCAGCCTTTGCCTTTGGCGGTCTGCCTCTCTTCTTTGGCACCTTCACTTCAGCATCAACCTTTGCCTTTGGTGGTCTACCTCTGGGACGCTTTACCTTAGGATTCCTTTCGTTTTCGATTCTCTTAATTTCCTCATTAACAAGAACATCATCTGTACGCCATCTACCTCCCATTGTTGGTGGAAGTCCTTGAACTCCCTTAGACAGTAAGCTCTGGTATGCTTCCTCTACAAGTAAAGCCTTAGCCTTTTGCCTGTCAGAGTACTTCCACGTTGGCATAATTCCTCTTTTACCCTTGTAGTTCTTAGGTATGCGTCTTGACTTCTTTGTTTCCATATCACGGTCAACTTCATCTACAAATTGTCTTTCTCCCTGGAATGGGCTTTCACCCTTGTCGTTGGGAGCAATCCTGTAGTTTCTATCCATTAGGATGTCTTCTACCTTTGTATCCATATCCTCATCACTATCTATGACACTATTGAGAGCCATAAGTTGTTCTACGCTGAATTCGTTCGTGTTAAAGTAACTCGCCATATTTTCTAACAGTTCCTATATACTATATATGTAAAAATAAATTCGGGTATTTAATTATTAATTTATTTCGAATTTATTTTTTATTTAATTTATTTGTATTTTTAATTTAATTTATTGTTTAATTCTATTGATTTATTATATCAGTATATCTTTAAGTGTTTTTATTTTTTATTTAATTTATTGTTTAATTCTATTGATTTATTATGTCAGTATATCTTTAAGTGTTTTTTATTTATTGTTTAATTCTATTGATTTATTATATCAGTATATGTTTAAGTGTTTTTATTGTTTAATTCTATTGATTTATTATATCAGTATATGTTTAAGTGTTTTTATTGTTTAATTCTATTGATTTATCATATCAGTATATCTTTAAGTGTTTTTATTTTTGGTTTAATTTATTGTTTAATTCTATTGATTTATTATATTAATATTTCTTTAAGTGTTTTTACTTTTCCAGTTATTATAATATTCACATTTCTCAGGTTTCCATCCAAGCTCAACAAAAACTTTCCCATACAACCTATCCTCAAGGATGTCCACAATCCTTTGAGTCTTAATATCCTCAGGAGGGTTCCTCAAAGTTATACCATTCATACTAGCTATCCTCAGTAGGTAAAACTTGTATCTGACTATGTTGCGCCCCCTTTCCAGTCTAAGTCTTTGTATACATCTTACGATGCTTCTAAACTGCTCCCTTATGGTGTCCCTATCCCTAGAAGCAACATGTTCGAATAAGTGTCTCTCAAACCAACGGACTCTATTATGACAAGACTTTTTCTTCAGATAGTCGTCCTTGTTGTAGTTGTAACTAACGTAGTATGAGAAGTTATTCATATCACTGGCACCACACTGTGTGCATGTATCTGCTCCATCTATCATTACAATAGACTTACTTCCACATTCGCTACATATTGGATCATATGTGTGTTTTCTCTTTATTCTACTCTCTGCGTGCTTCCTCACAGCAGCCTCTAACTCTTCCACTGTATTTACCCTTTTACCTACATGTGCTATCTCCTCAGGTGTTGCCATCTGTAACCATTCCATTTCCCTATACTTATAGGTGTGAAAATTTTTATGGCATTTTCTATAGCATTAAATAAGCTGCCCCTCCAACCACCCCACCTGCAATTAAACCAAAGATTGCCATATATTCTTCCATTTCAGAGCTAGGTTTGTAGTGATTACTCAATTGCGGCTTCCCTGGCATAGGCTTACGTTTTAGCTCGTTGATTCTTCTGACGAGTTCTAGTGACTGGTTCGTTGACTTGATATCCCTATTTGCCTCAGCTAGTTCTGACTTCAGTTGGGCAATCCTATTTCTTCTGTCAGTGACCTCTTCAAGGTACTTTTCTCTTTCAGCTGTTAGGTTCTCCATTGCAAGGTTATGTCTCTTAGCTTCCTCAGCGTATCCATTCCTATCAAACATTTTAAATAGGTATCCTGCTCCAGCAAATGCAAATGCGTTAAAGAGTCCTCCTGCTACTGCACTCGCCATTGTATAGTTTTACATATGTTTCGGGTGTCCTAGGTTTTAATTGGATTATCAGGGATATACTTATTTTTCTTTAGATACGACACCAGTAGGGATGAAAGACTAACAGAGACAGCTAACTTTAACATTCCCTTTGTGTTCTCTGGTGTACCTAGTGGTTCCTTCAGTAACTTTTTAGATGCCATTGAGATTCCAATTGCTCCGGCTGTAAGTAGTAATGCATCATACACTTCACCTCCCATCTCTGATTTATCAACTGCGTTTACCTTACTCATCTTGTTATAATATATGGTATGTTTAATGTATCATTCAAGTGAATCTAACTTGGACTCATCAGCTTTCCTAGTTACTTCTACAGTTTTAGGGATGTACTCAGGTTCTGGTTCCCTAGTTTCCCTCTGATGTGTTTTATATGCTAGCACAAGAGATATCAATGCAATGGCCACTCCTATGTAGGTAATCATACTATCATTACTAGATGACTCGTTAGGTTCAGCTTGTTTCCTTTTCCTTTCCTTTGCTATTCTACTGATTGCTCCCAGTCGTTTTCCCGCAGCTACTCTTTTTGGGTCCTTCTTCTTTTCACTTGTTACTGGTACTTGATTTTGCTCAGGTTTATCTTCCATTCTACTTGTAAGATACCTTAGGTTTAACTGGGTTTTATCTTGCAAGTTATCTTTGATTCTACTTATAAGATAACTTAAATTTACTTGTAAGATAACTTGAATCTACTTACAAGATAACTTAAATCTTCTTGTAAGTTAGCTTACAAGATAACTTGAATCTACTTACAAGATAACTTAAATCTACTTAGCAGTATGATGGGATTGCTTAAAAATGCCCGACAGCATTTGCCGAGCACTTTCTAAGTTCCATTCCTTCACTTCCTGTTTACGCTCTAGTACTTACCTACTGTGTAACCAATTTGTCGAATTACAACTTCCTTACACTTACTAGCCTTTAAAGTCCTGCACTTTATCTTAAGATTCTTTATTTCCTCCAGGAGTTTCTTTATCTTGTCGACCCTAAAGTACTCCTCTATATCTAGCACTATCTTTGTGTAATCGTTAGATATTAGTGTCCGGTATCCATTTTCGTTTAACACCTTTAACCATGACACCTGGTTGTCCCTAACTTCACCTGTGCCCTTTGGGGTCTTGAGTTCTATTGCGAATCCATGGAAACCGTTACTTGGAGTTACTATCGTGAGGTCCGGTTGTCCACCCATATATCCCTTTCTCCAAGCGTCACATCTTTTGTATGAGGTATCCTGGTACTCTCCTAATCCAGGTAAGATTAGAGCTTTTGGGTGGTACTTTTTAAGATATTCTACAACAGCATAATGAAGGTCCGTTTCATTAATTAGCTTCATCTGTTTACAATAAAGCGGCTCAGATTCTGGTAATTTGTATGAGCCTATTTTACGGATAGATGGTAGTACCTCACCGAACACCCAGCCCTGAAACGCTTCAGCTATCGGTAGTCTGGAATTACAAACCAGTTGGTACAAACCTGGTTCGTATAGTAAAACCGTATCGGAATGACTTTTTTCCATGGTGAACGAATCGGTAACCCTTTGGAACTCCCCCACCGTTGTTCTGTTTGTTTTCCATACATGGTCTCTAACAGCTTTCTGCGGGTTTATGTACCCTAGGGATTCTGCCACATCCTTTGCATAGAACAGTACCTTCTCACCACTCTTAACGGTTCTCACACTAACATTCAACTTCGGATTCCTAAATAGTTTCTCCATCTTCCCTATACTATATGTGTAAAAAATTTTTAGGCTATTTTATTCATCAATTTATTTTGATTTATTTTGGGAGCAGCATACCCTCAGCCCACCCAGCTGCTTCCCACTGTTGTATACTTCCTATTACAAAAAATGATTTTGCCTACTGCATTTCATTTAGATTCTTGTATATATTTACAACTGTTTTTATTGTATCATTTTTAAAAGCCTAAAAGTCATACTTTAGTGAATCCAAAGTTGCCTGAATCTTATCCAGCTGTTCCCTGTTTTTATCAGTTTTCTCAATCAATTCATTAATTATGTCTTCGAATTCTATTCCTTCCCAGGGATTTCCCCAGTCGGAGGGCCCTCCGAGTCGTGGCATTCTGTATGTAATAGAAGATGTTTAGTTTCCTCAGACACTTCCTCAGGTTCCTCCTTCTTATTCCACTTATGGGCAACTACATGCTTAGCTGTTGTACAACCACCAGATATGAGCCCTATGAATGGGATGTTGGGGGATATCGTTCTGGTTAAATATGCTACATCGTCCTTCAGAAGCTTGTCACTAAGTAGTTCCTCTGACAGTTTCTCTGAAGATTCCACTGCACCGAAACTTCCCAGGACTGACGCAAACTTTGAGATAATAAGTGTTGATAAGAAGTCGCTTGCACATGACATCCTCTGACTTTCGTACTCATGGTATAGTCTATCTACAACATCCTTGTTAGACTTTCTTATAAAACTTGCGGGCTTCTCTATTATAGCGTCCCTCGATAGCTCTATAAGTTTGTCCCTTTTGCTTTTAGTTTGCGACTTATCTGCGGTAGACTTAGTTTTTCTTGCGGTAGACTTAGCTTTTTTCTGCGGCACCTTTGCGGCCTCCTCTACTTCTCTTACAGCCTCAAATATTTCTTCCTCAGATTCAGTTCCCATCATCTATATTTTACGCGGTGTTTAGTTTAACAGTGTATGTGTAAGGGTGAATAAGTAGTACGTCCGTTGCGGTGAACTTTTCATCTTTTAATATTTTCGTAATCTCTGTAATTGTCTCCTGGGGAACACCACTTAGGTAATCATCTGTTATGACCTTCATGTCCCTGCGACTAGGGTTGTAGAATGTAACTAGCCTGGAAATGTTCTCTCTAAAGGGCTTCGCTACTGATGACAATTGTTGGGTAAGCACAATGACAGATAGGTTGTAATGTCTTGCGGAGAATGCTAAGCGCACCAGTTCTGAGACTCTTTTCTTTACATCTTGACTTGCAGCACAATCGTCCACTATAATGAGAGTCTGAGTACCGCGGAATATGGTGGACACTGCCTTGAGAACAAGATCGATCATTTCTTGTGAGCATGGAATTTGTATAACTCCGTGGTCACTAATATGAGTCCAATTAATGTAAGTCATATTCCACTCTATGGTTGGACATATAATGACAATGTAATCGAAAACTCTATTGTACTCTGTTTCTAACATATTAAGTAGGAACTGAGTCTTTCCACTTCCTGTCATTCCTACTATGAGCATGTTGAATGGGGGCTTAAGTTGTTGCATCTCTATGCTTTACCATTAGTATTGAATACTTGATAGATCTCTATTGGCAAAGTTAAGGAGAGCATCTGATACAACAAAAATGTTGCATTGAACGTCAGCTGTTGTGGCTCTCTTTTTGATTTCCAGGAGTACTCCCGACTGTGTGTTAACAATCTTCTTACCTCCACCTGTGGTATCATCTTGTGTTGATCTAAGATCGATTACTAGAGCAAAACCGTTGCTGAAGAACTTACTGATGGACATAAATTCGTCTGCCATTGATTTCTCGCACATAGGGCAGAAGAATCGTTTTTGCCTCTTCAAAGAACCTATTTTTAGGAAGTCCTTGGGAGAAAACTGCATTTAGGCACACCTTCAATGGTCAGGTTCACTTTATCAATGTTTGGGTAAATATATTCTTCACTATCAGTTCTCACTCTGTTGGTAAATAGAAGGACAATTGCTGACATGCTCTTCCTGGGGATATTAATGTTCTCATTGACAATGGTAAGATCTTTGTCCCAATTACTTGTACGCAAAAGAGTGACGTGTTTGTAGGACAGTGAGCGACCCGTTGAATACATCCTTGATACTTCACTCGCAAGGGTGTCATTCTCAATAGTCTCGTATTCTAACTCAAGATTGTCCAGTTTATAGCCATCTACTTGTTCACCTCCTTGGGCAGTCATAATCTCATCTGCTTGTGGGAGAGTAAGGATGTACATAGGATTGTTATTCATGTAGAACGGTGTGTAGAGTCCATGGTCTGCAATTATTTTATCAATTGGTTTTCTCAGCTTAGAACCGTACACACTGTGGAGGAGTGCATCTGCTACTTTACCAACATCACCTACCTTTACACCTGAGTCGTCGCCTGATATCAGCTTCCTGAGATTCTCACTTGCAAGGCCCTGTTCAGTCATCTTCTTTCTGTCACCTAGTGTTAGCCATAGATCTTTGTATATTTCGTACAAACTCTCTCCTGAACAGTCATAAGCTGTTTCACCTGCTACTTTAATCTGAAGACGTTTAGCTATCAACTTAGACAGGTTGTTATTGAAATGGCTCTTTGTATTGGAATTTTTGAAGTCAAATAATAGTGCAAACGATCCGGGGACTAAACAAGAGTCAGGCTTTAGTTTGGGGATGTTAATGTACAGCTCTTCACCTGGACCAATAGTTGTTGGATTAAAAGTTACAACACTTCTAGTTCTGGGACCTTTTACGGATGTCATACGACTCCTCCTGAAGCCAGGTTGGAGTTCTCTTTCTGTGGTATTCATACTTGTATACAATATGTAATGTTTAGCTGTATTTGTATAGTAAAACTACTGCTGCACATACAATGATTATCCATATATTATCCGCTGCTAACTCTACTCCATCGGCTATTTTCTGAAATACAGGTGGTAGTTCTATTTGGTGGTTTACCAACTCACTGATCCGCTTATCGAGCTTTTCTGTTGTGTCACCTACTTTCCACAATATGTTTCTAGTTGATGCTACCAGTCCTATGATTACAGCTGATGAGGAAATTAGAACAGCTGATAAGATGCCTGCATTCTCCCTTGCCCATAGCCTGAGCCTCTGCAGTCTCCTACGATCGTCCCGTTTAATGAGATCCCTCTTTTTCACCTTATCTCTTAAGTTGAGAAGTTTATTTAAGTTTGACTCTCTTTGGTAATCATTTGATAGCATTCTGACGTATCTCAGTTCTTCCGACTTTTCTTTGAAACTGTCTTCGTCCAAATTGGATAGTATTATTTCATTTAACAGTCTGTCTCCCCTATCCATTAGATCATCGTATGACAGATTAGATAGGTCAGGGAATTTCTCAGCTAATTGCTCTCTCGTAAGGTCTTTGCTTTCATATATTTCCAATATTTTTCTCCTCCTCAGTTCCTGTATGTAATTAATTTCCTCGTTAATATCCTGGGTCTCCTCAGTAGTTTCGCTTTCCCTAAGATCCTTGTCAAGGTACGGTAATTCACTATCTAAAGTTTCTATATCCATTTCTTCATAGTTTGGATACTTTTCCCTCAACTCCTCCATTTTCTGGTCATTGTATTCCTCTTGGTGTTCCTCCATAGCTAATTTACTTTGTGTAATAGTTGTATACCATTAAGGCTGCAGCTATAGCTAATACCCATAAGTGTGACGCTAACCAGGCAATTCCTTTGGCTCCCCATGATAGCGCCGTTGCAATGGTGTTCAGAATTGGAACTAGAATTGGCCCTGCTTTCTTTGCTAAATTTGCTAATGCTTTTGCTACTTTACCAGTGGCTTTTGCTGTCTTCACAATGGCTCCCCTAGCATAGATTAGTAAGGCTGTAATTAAACTAGCTGTTGACAAGTCCCACCTTTTCCTTTCCTACCCAGTCTATAAATCTGCGTAATCTAGAAATATCTTCCAACTGTGCCTCTCTTGCTTCCTCTACTGTTCTCTGCTCTAGTGTTCGATCTCTAGCTTCCTTCAAACTGTCAATTCTTTCTATAAGAGCATTATACTCAGTTGTACCTTCCGCAGAGGTGGCTCGTTCCACGGTTTCACCAATAGCTTCATCAAAGTAGTCAGCTTGTATTTGCAGTGCTCCATTGGGACCTGTTCTGCCTTCTATGCTTGATCCATCAGGTGGGTTAAGAACACCTCTCAGTTCATTGTTTTCTTGCATTGTTAGCCCTGGAAGGTCTCCTAGTTTTACACCTATGTCTATTAACTCCATGTTCTCACGGTTAGCGTATTCCTCATCACTGTCATCAAATTGTGGCTCTTCTTTAGTATCCTCATAAATTGATTCATCACTTCCAATTATATTGTCGGGATCCGTAGGTACCTCTTTTATTTTCTTTAGAAGGTCCTTATATTCTCTCAGAGCAGGTGAGTCCTTTGAGTACACGGGAATCTTGGTCTTACCACGTTTCATTATTTGTGTGCCACTTTTGTCAATACCTTGTTCACTTCTAAATACCAACACCTCTGTGCCATCCTTGAGTGTTCTTACAGATGATCGTTTTATGAGTTCCCTGACATATTTATTCTTAGGGTCTAGTATTAGTCCCTCCTTACCCTTGATAACTCTTGTAACAGCTTGAACACGCTCTACTTGGTTTTCGAAATCTCTCTTTTTATTTGCTGTAACCCGGTCTTTTGAGAACTTTTTCAGTTTCTCTAGGCGGGCTTCTATTTCATCCCAGTCAGCGTCAAATGATTCGTTGAATGCATCTAGCACGTCTGGAAGTACATTGTTTGGGTCTTCCACGAAGTTGACTTCTGGGACAGTTGTGCTTCCTGATGGTCCTGAAATGTTCACTGTACCATCATTTCCTTCGGTGAAAGTTGTTTCTGCTATTGCACGTCTCTCCATGAGATTCTTCACATAGTCCAGTTCACTTTTAAGATTAGTTAATACTATAGGGTCATCACCATACATAGCCTCTCCCTTCACCCTTGTATCTAACCTACTAAAAGCTGTCGTTAGGTCATCATAATTAAGATCGTCATATTGAGGATACGTCTTTTCTGTCTCCTCCATTTCATATTCGTCATAGTCCTCTGCACCCTCCATAATACTTTAACTTATGTTAGGGACTTGATGTCTCCAGCTGGTATCCAACTGTTAAATTTGTCATCATAACCTAACCACTTAACTAGGGCCATCTTTTTACCCTTCAATGTTCTTCTCCTTAATACTTTCTCTATTCTGAAATCAGGTTCTCTTCCTTCAGCGCTATACAGTTCTGGTTCATAGAATCTGCCAATTATTGGTTCATCAGCACTGTCTTTTATTGTGTACGTGTTTGGATGGCCGTGATACACTTCCGTCACAGTGAACAACTCCTCTGTAAAATTTGCTTCGTACCCTTTTGTGAACACTGATTTGTACTTTGAAATTCTAACACTTTCTCCGACAGTAAACTTTGGTTCTGACGGCTTTCCTAAATTGTGACTAAAAAGTGTCTTCCATACTTCAGTCCAGTTGGACTCATTTACACTGTCCGGTGTTGTTTTAATTGATCTGTTCACTGAACTGTTGTAATTATCAGTTAAG